TAATGGTTTATCTTTCTGTATGAATAAAGGTTTATCTACCATTTCTCAATATGCTAATTTACATACAACAATAAAACCCAAACCTTAAAAATCATATAGCAACCACAATTTCATGAGGAAAAGAAAGTTAAATATACTGCCACAAGTATTTGCTAAAACAAATTCTGAGCCTACGCAGAAAGAGAGACTGGAACTTTAGCTCTTTTGGTAAAATGCAAAACAGTCCACAAAGGAGAAGAAAACACAAAACAAGCTACAGGCAAATAAGAAGAGCAGCACAATCAAAAATGAAGAACTTCTCAAAGTGACTTCTACTGCAGTGAACTGAGGCTCAGTATATAATCACCTTGAATACAGTCGCAGTGTCTACCTTCTGCAAGGTCCCCTCAGAATAGTTACACTCACACAGCATACACAGTATCCACCCAAAGTCAGACACACCCACCATAAGTGGAAGAAAATTTCAAAATTAGGCTGTATTACATTAAGTAACCTCTGTGTGTGTTTTACCACAATACCAAACGGTGGGATTTCAAAATTATGACTGGTCCAGACTGATGAAGCACATCAGTCTGCACACAATAGTTCTACAGATACTAAAACAACAGTGAAATATGTCTAAAATTCTACAGGCTACTGGAACCATTTACTGTGGTTTTTCTGAATAACCATCTACCAGTTTTGCACGGTTCCATTATAGCCACCTATTACCTGTGGAAATAGTATCTCACTTAATTGGCACACAGCAGTTTCTATATCTTGTCATGTTATTTTGAACCCAAGTCAGAGCTTCTAGGTTTGATTAGGTCTATTATTATTCAGCTGAAAAAGGAATTCTCAGCTCAAGATGAGTGAAGAGTGATGCAGGTTGACATGTTAGGTTTTCTTATACACTGCTGTAAATACCTAACGCAGTTCTCAGAGATCGACACTAATTTCTAGGTGAAGTAATACCACTAATTAATTGTTGGAAAATTATTATAACTACGTCAAGCAAAGAATTTGCCACACCGAGATGTATTTCTTGCTATGGAACATCTTACGAATTGTAGCCATGTTAGGTAACACGTAAGATCACTTTCAAACACAAAAATGTACGTGATAATAAAATATTACTTCCAATGTTTCCCCAAACAAAACGTATCGAAATGCTCTGAGAAAAGAAAAACCTGTAGCGAATAATCATCGGTTTATGTTTCAGATTAATGCATTTTAATAATTCGAATCAGATACATGTTGTTGCCATTTATTCTGTACTGTCTGAGTGTGTAGGGGAGCGTGTCACAGTGTCCCCGGATAAGCTGCATTCCTGTTCGTGACTGCCACCCCGCCCCTCACCGTTAAAGGATGGATGATGCAATCATTTGATATCGTTGCCATATGCTACCACAAATCATGAACAATGTAACAAAAATCATGATGGCGAATTGTTTTACTGAAAGAGAAATCAATCGCATATTATGTAATTTTAAACGCAAAGGCTTTCATAGTTGGTGGTATACATTATTCACAATGCATCACCACATGAGATACGCAAAAACTTAATATTAAATAAGCCAGCAACAATAACTAGGTAAAAATTAATTTAACTATTTTCTAGGCCCATACTAATGCGTGTAATATATGTAACGAATAGGATACAAACTTAAAGTCAATGCAGTCATATATACTTTTTAGAAACGGTGTGCTACATACCCCTTCCTTAAACTTTTTAAAAACCGTTTCTAAATAAACAAAACATGCGAATTATGACTCTCCATAACAAAATCTGTAAGAATAAATAACATGCTCATAGTACGTTAATAACGCCACATGCCATAAAATGTATTTTAAAAACAGTTTACCTTGCACTACCAGGGAAATAACTTTAAGTCTATAATGAGGCACTTTTTCATTCTTCGTCTTCAACGTAAAAACACAGAGATAATATTTTGCTTAACACGCACAAATTCTGGAAGTGAGAAAACTGCATATACACAAAAAGTCCGGTTTTCTTTCAAGTATCTTTAAACTTGAGGTTGTCACGTTGTAAGACTAATACGCCACGTTGGACCACGCACGTCCATCAAATTCTAGAAGAAGCGAAAGGTTACGCCCCCTGCTATTTGATTGGTTGTCCACTACTACATGTTTAAAATGACGCTACCTAAGCCTGTTCTTCTCAATCGTGGTCCTACCAGCCAACTGTATTTACTAGTTCACATTAGATTTTGCTCCCAGGGGTGAACATGGCCACCCCAAAGTAGCAAAAACGAAATATGGATTATTCTGTTTCCTACGGTGAACCATAGAAGAAACACAGTGCAGTGCGCCTCCTGGTGGCCACCCCAAAGTTTTCAGCAGGCGTCGCTGTTTGCTCCAGTGAAGCTTTTCGTTATTTGGTTTTGATTTAGAGTAGGCTACCAGAAGAACAATCCCGAAGTGTTTACCACAAAGATCGCCACTGCTTCTCTGCCTCAATTGAAACTTCGCCTAGTGCATTCATTTGCATGTCTGTACAAATTTATTTGACATAAACAACCTTAAATTGCTGGATGTAGAATTTCTCCTGCATTAACCTGTAATTTTATGCTGCCCTTGCAGCAGTTTAAATTACAGCCTCTTTGGATTTTATTTCCTCCGTCTTCCGGATTGAACAGTATGCCACAAATACGAAGATATTTTTATGCACCACAGCCTAATCGATACTTCGCCCATTTTCCGTTTGTCATGTTGATCCCACTGTGATCTTATTTTATCATTGATGAAAAAACAGCAATGACGTGTTTTGTGTGAAACAGGTTTGCTTTATCTTTATGACACGATTGATTTCATTTGAAAATACTGGACAATAATGAAGTAGCGCATAGTTTCCTTAATGAGTTGCACTAAGGACATTATAATGGGACGAGTCTCATCTCTCACTCTCTCTCTCTCTCTTCAATTCATCAAAATCTATTGGTATGACATAAAAAGTATTACAGAAACATTTCAAACAAAGTGTTTATTATTTTAAATACACAAACTTGAAAAGTGAAGTTAAAAACTCATGCAAACATATTCTAAGCCAAAGATGGCTGCATACCCCAGCTATTATTGGTGTTCGCTGGCTTCCCTTTCAAGGCTGTGACAGGCAGATACAAATGGAGCAGCTAATACAGTGGTGTGCCCCTCCCCCACGCTGCCCAGGTTCACTGCTGTGCGCGTGTGTGTGTGCGTGTGTGTGTGTGTGTTTGAATCAAGGATGGACTGGGAACAAACATCGGCCTGGCAAATTACATCCCCTGTAATTCACTCCTGGCTCACTGATACAGCGGCCCACTGGAACAGCCAGCCTGGCCCTGGTATGTGTGTGTTGCTGCTGTTGTTGTGGGTAGGCCTATCAGTTTTTTTCCTGATCAAAATAACATTTCCACATCAAACCACAACAACAACAACCGTCATGGGAAACTGAGCACGTTTCTTAGAAAAAAATACGTGTAAGGCTAATTTAAAAAACGTTGGTGATGTTTATAGATATACAGGGCCTCTTTCCCTGTGGGTGTAAATTCTATATTTGGATAACAAACAGTTTTATAAGCAGGCATATTGTTTGGCTATGTGTTATTCGTTTATTCTTCTCTATTTCCGACACACCTTGAAAGAAGTGAGCCGGCAGCAACTGAAGAAAAACAGATTGCTTTAACGGGTATGTTTAACATGTCCTCTATCGTTTCGGTCAGCATCCCATGTGAACACAATGACGCCGCGTCAGCACCGCCCTGCAGTGCACGCCCCCGTGGTCCCTCCGCACATTTATATTTGTTTGCATTCCCGTTGCTGTATTTCTAAGGTGGAGTTTGCAGGGCTTGGTGGCGTGACACACCATTCAATTGCAATGCTTCATAATGGCCGAGAGTGACACACCCCGAGAGACAGAGGCTGACTGAAATGCTTCCAGCTGTTATCTACTAGTGTAGCCGTGACAGTCAGGCAGGTGGATAGCGAAGGTAAAACAAGAAAAGACGCCGCAGACGGACGCAGGGAACTGGGCAAGACATAAGTACATACATAAATAACCAAAGTATTTTATAATCTTATAGAAAACAAAACATCTGATATAATTTCTTGGCATCTCTGTTTTCTTTTTGCCAGTTTTTTTTCAATTATTCTTATGGACCAGACATCAAAGTAGATTCTTTAAGGTAAGAGTTATCTGTCAATCTCTCAGCACCACAGAAGTACATATGACATTTAAAATGCAATGAACTATAGTTGTCGACCTTGGGTTTAACTGCTTCTTTAAATGGGTTGGCAGGAATAGTAAATATACAGTATGGAAGTGTAAAATAACCAAGTAATATTTGAAATCTGAAATGTTACTCATGGTTCGATACATACAGAGCCCATTGGGTAAGACTACTTTTTTTTTTTGATGAGTTGACATGTTCTTCTGAAACACTGTAATACAAAGAGAAATACTTTGCTTTAAACTTTGAAGCGCTGTGTGTGTGTGTGTGTGTGTGTGTGTGTGTTGGGGGGGTTCACGGTGGACATCACATTAGATGCCGGCCAGTGGGTGTCTGTTCCCGGGATCCCGGGCGCTCGCCGTCTGATTGGCTAAGGCGCTTTACCTTACGGCGCGGGCTTCACACGCATCGGGGGCACTGCTACCCCCATTAGATAAGAAGCGTCTTCAAATAAATATATTAAATATATTAGTCACGTGAAGAAAAAAATATAAGCCATGGCGGCGCGAGCTCAAGGTGCGGCATGTGTGAACCGCTTGGTCAGTTTTAAAGACTCGCTCGTGTTTCGCAAGTACTGCTCTTACTCCTGTAGGCAGTCAGGGCATGGGGTAATAAATGTGTTAGTCTGAGGGTGTTTTATGTGCTTTACTTTATTGAATTTCCAACATAGTCATCACGTTTCACGCATGCACGAACAATTCATGGCATGTTTTCGTGAGGCTTTATTTTCGATTTCTAAACTTACAGTAGAAATCTAGGGCGAATGTAGTGTGTAGTTTACTTTGGGTCAAATTATAATTTTTTATTTGCTTGATAAAATAATTTACCTATTGAAACTTATTTGAGAATATTGGTGCCTGTGTACGGTGGCTGTTCGTATTAAACTCTTGCACAAGGGCGACGCCGGAATAATAGTGGAGGTCAGATACAGTACTGGGCATGAGAATAACAAGGCTGGAAGGAGTTAAATGCTAGGTATTCTCACGTACCTGGTCAAACTGGATGAGTAACTCTACAGTTTCAGGCTATAAAAAGAGAAAGGAGGAGGGGTGGTCAATAAAGCGACAGAAGCAGTAAGGACTGAGCGGTCGAGGCAGTAAGGACACTTTTCATTCAAAAATGTTTGGTGGCTTGCTGTGGAAGCCTTTTTCTGCCGTAACGTGGGGATCTGGCTCGTTGTTCTGACCTGTACTTGGTATAACGACCTCTGTTTTATCACACAGCACTATTGTTTTCATTATTATTTTATTCCCTTGTGACTGCAGACTCACTTGCCTATGTAGTCCTGCGTAAATATGTCTGTGCTATATTGTGATAACTGCGGTACATGTCAGTTTTATTTATATAGAGTTTAAGTGCTAGTGTAAATGTTTAAAAATTGAATGTAAAATATTTTTCATTAGGTTCATATGCGACTCTTTATCAGCTCATTTATATCTCACTGATTGCAATAAATATTTTATCAGTTTTAGTCATAATTAAAATATTTTTCCTTTTTGCTGTTTTTTTAAAGTACTCAATACTGCACTGACTACAGTATAATAATACCTGTTTTGTCATAGTCCCCAAATACAGACAGGCAATAGATGTGTATCATGTATAGATGTAGTTTGGAAGATTTATTATGACGATGTATATTGTATAATAATATTAAATGTATAATTTATAATGTATTATTTATAATTATGCCATTCACACCCCTCATAGGTTATGGAATAGTTTTAAGGTGTTGCAAAATTTTACTTTCTAGGGGCCTAGGAACCGGGGGAAGGGGGCTAGGGTGTGTACTTCCTAAATATTTAATTTTGCTTCACCCCCCCTCCACCCCACATCAACAAACAGACCTTTTATGGTTTATATTATTAAACTGTATTTAATGTATTAAACTCCCAATACAAACTGTCTCTTACTTCATTGGCTGAGGCGACTCATTACAAAGACATCAAACTATAAGTCTACAGCTGTTGAGTACATAGAGGATGAATGATTAAAAAGGTATCATCACTTAAATGTGCTCATTGTAATTCTTTGTATTGATTGTTCTCCCATTAATCTCTTTTTCAGAGCCGTCACCGTCTTCATTGAGGATTTAGCAATGGATGATATCTCACAATACTTAGTCAATGTAAGTTTTTCCACATGCTGAATTGCGATTCTGTGCTTTTGTAGGTGTGTATGACACATGTGTTTGTTAATGTGCTTAATATCAGCCCAAACCTGTTCTGTGAATGATAAAGTGACTTTACGCATGTAATAAGCTCTCTCCACTGATATCTCTCTTGTTCTTCTTCCTGTTCTCGCCCCAAACCCCAGCACCTGGTGACCTTCTCCCTGCAGGGTGGGGAGGTCCAGAGCGTGGAGGAGGCCCTGTCACGGCTCTCCCACCTGGCCCGCACAGACCGCCTCTGGAGCCAGGAAATGCTGGTAGAAGTCAGTCGGGACACCGTCAGGCTGAGGGATGCTCAGAACCAGGTATGGCCCTCGTGCTCAGCCCTGAAATGGACCCGTGGGGGGCACTATGTCACACTGGGTCACAATGACCAGCAGATCATGAACAAGGTGACAGGGTATATACCGGCCAAAGTTTATGAACAAGGTGACAGGGTATATACCGGCCAAAGTTTATGAACAAGGTGACAGGGTATATACCGGCCAAAGTTTATGAACAAGGTGACAGGGTATATACTACCCAAGGTTTATTGCCTATTCTTATTATATGTGTTTTTATTTAGATTGTATGTAGTACTGTGCTAATGTCTTATGCAGCCAAAATAAATGCTTAAAGCTATTTATCTGGTAGTGTATGTATATTCCCTTAGGGAAAAAACTGTTAAAAGTAATAAGAATTTCTTCTGTTCTCCAAAACTGACATCTTGTTGGATGGCTAGAACAGTTCCCATACTCAATTAGTTAACTAACCCAAAGAGGTATTCATTAGCCAGACATGGTGTGCTGGTGGCTGAGCCAACAAAAACATGGGAATATTGGATGGTTGCTGAAAATACAGCCTTTAGCAGAGGTTTTAAGCTAACATACTTTGACGGACATAGTACTATAGTTTTTCATCAACATGAAGATCATTTAATTTTTTTTACTGTCTAAGATTTTACTATATGTTTATTTAACATCCTCTTTGAATTATTATTTTGAAAAGGATCATTTTAGTATGCCAGGCCCTGTACTGGTTAAGTGGTTATGGAAGATGACTGGATGTAACTAAATTAATCATATTAAAAGCATTGCCTCTACTTTTCTATTTAAAAGATTAAATGACAAGGTTGTGCTACCTGGCGCTGAAACATTTCAATTGGGTTTGTGCACAGGATGAGCTGGAGGCTTACCCCGTCTCCTGCATCCATCGCTGTGACGCTATCCTCACAGAGAAACAGTTTCCATCCTTGCTGCTCCTTGTGTGTCAGTACGGTCCCCGAAAAAAGCCCGACGTTCATTTCTTCAACTGTGAGAACGTAGGGGTGAGTACGACAGTATGAGTGTCAGTTCCGTGCAGCTCTCCCTTTTGCTGTACCATGAGAGCTTATGTCACGATTTGATCTCTAAGTGTCTGCTCTGAGCCTCTAGCAGACACTGTACCCAGTTAATGGCTAAATGTATCTTTCCGCCGCATTTCACACATGCTCCAAACAGAACATCCACAATGTCGCGTGTCCCCCCCTAAAGTATGCAATTTATCTGGCGAATGCCTCGTGTTTGCAGGCGGAGCCGATCCGTGATGACATCATCAGTGCAGTGTCTGATCACACATCGAAGACTAACAGGCGTCCTGAGGTTTTGAGGTATGTCACAGAATACGGTTAAGGACAATCTGAGAGAGATTCAGGTATAAGCAAACTCAAATCTCCAGCAATTCTCTGACTGTATAGGTCAGTGCATTGAATAGGATTTCACTGGAACGCAGTGGTGGAAGGAAGTGGTTTTCAAAGAGGGTGGATCAAAGTTGTTTCACTGTCATTGCTTGGCTTGAGTGTAATGACATTTATATTTATTTAGTTAAGAGAGCAGGGTCAGCTACTCGATGGAGCAATTGGGGCTAAGGGCCTTGCTCAAGGGTCTCAAGAGATTTAGCCAGATTGTTTAGTAAAGTCATTCAACTAGTTAGTTATGTAACACAGGGCACCCAGATGACAGAGGCAGTGGAAGTGTGCTAGCCTCACAGACAAGGAGGTCTTCTTTAAGGGAAAACAAGGCTGGAAATAAACAATGAACTGAGTGTCGTCAGAGTCATACCATGCTAAGGGGACCCATTTTACATTCAGATGTTATCCTGTTGTTTCAGAAAGCTGAAAGAATGTTTCATGGTAATGGTGGGAAGTGGTGGAGCAAATGTAAATTACACTTATTTATGTACAAAGAACTTAATCTGAAATGAATAAATGAATATATTCACACTTACCTATGAATTTATAAGCATATGTGGAAATGTATTTTTTTTTTAAATTTCAGTGGAGGTTGTTTGACATAACAAAGTTCCTATTGATAACTACAGAATGTACTTATTCTCTCTCAAAGCATGATTTTGAAACCGGACTCTGTGTAAACAGTTGTCACAGATTATATGTGATTGTTAAACCAGAAACCTGACAGGCAATAGTTTGAAAGTAATACTTTTTCTCCCCGTCACAGCATAGATTTGATCTACTAGAATTCTTTTTCTCGCTCTCCTTCCAAAATGCGAAATATGTGTCACCTGTAAAATACTGTTGATGTTTCAACAAGCTGATCTTTCTAGCCCCACTCAGTTTTGTGTTGACAAAGCTTTAACACTTGGGAAAAGAAAACGAGTGACCAGCAGTGAAAGGACGGACTCGTCTGACTTGTTTTCGCATTACTTAGGAAGGTGTGACTGAGAAAATAAGGCTGTTGCAACTAATGTAAAGGATAGACTGCCATACTTGATTACCTGTTCATAGGACAAGAGTCCAGGTCAGGTTTGTCATCAGTCCAGACCTCCAGACTACAATTAGCGTGCATTTAGCTGTCATGAAACAGTGTGTCTCTTTTTAAACAGGTCAGAACAGCTAATATGTCACTGCCAGATATTTTGGGAAATGTTACCGTTTGAGGTCGATTGGATTGAATTCCCACTTTCTCAGCTTCTCCAGATCGCCATATTTGTATCAGATTTTTGTATCAGTGTTGTTCATATCATTGCTTAATACATGAATATTCTCTTTGGACATTTATGCGTGTATATCCATTATGGACAAATGGTTATTTATATATGCTAACAATATAGTGTTACAGTTTATTAAAAAATTTAATACATAAAGGCTTTCAGTAATCAATCACTGAAAATATCATTTGTGAAACTGCGTAATATTTTATCCATGTAGCAGCATAAATGGCCTAATATAGCATGTCCAAATCTGGTCCCTGGGGACCCACAGCCAGTCCACAGTTTTGTTCCCTCCCAGCTCCCGGTAGCAAAAACGTGGACTGCCTGTGAGTCCCTGAGGACCAGACTGGGAAGCACTGGCCTAAAATATAAGCAGTAGGTTACTAATAAGATGCTTCCTTATTATCATACTTGAAAAGTGTTAAATAGTGACCCAGAGCCAAGGCTTGGTCATGGTCATGGTCACGGTCATGGTCACGGTCTTGCCGGTGAAGACGAAGCATACAGGGGCTGCTGCCCCATTGTCATTAACCAGCTGTGATACAGGCTGCTAAGCGGTGCCGTTTCGGCCATCACCCAGCAGGCGTAGCCTAGCCTGGGCAGTGCTTAGCCCCCCCGCTAACCAGCCATCTTTCTCATTTCCAGGATGAACCGGGCCCTATTGGTACAACCTTCTACTGCCACTGGAGCCATGAAGGAACAGGGCCCCCAGGGGATTCCCAACCCTCCCCTGCTGCAAGCCCCCAACCTTCCTCCCTCCACGCCTCCCCCACACTCAGGAATGAAAGGTGAGGGGGGGGGGAAGGCTGCTTCATTAATACAGAGCAAACAGCAGAGGTGGGCGAGATGCAATGGCATGGTGGCACAGGAATCCCACTGAACAGCATGCTGATGGGCCTTCTTAGGGGGGGCTGCCCTGCTGTCATGTGGGCTGTGGCGAAGGCACAGGCCGCTGTCTGTAATCAGGGAGCCAGTGCAGACAGGGCCTGGGTGTGTCCTCACTGGGTTTGGGCTGGTCTTTAATCACTGACCATGAGTGCATGTGATGAAGCTCTGCTCTGTGTGTTTGTGGAACAGAAGTTGGTAAATGCTGGCAGGAGGGGGCTAGCATGGACACAGGGGCTCACTTCTGATCTTCTCCCTCTGCACTAGTGAACGGATCCAGTGGTGACCAGGCCAATCAGGCTTTCAGACAGGCCCAGAGAGAAGTGGTATGATGCTGTGTCTGTCTGTCTGTCTGTCTAATGCCTGTCAGTATATTGAACCACTTTCAAGTGTGTGTGTATGTATGTGTGTGCATGCGCGTATGTGGACATGTTTAACTCAAAATGCGTGAAATCTGTTTTAATAAAGAAAAAAGAGCCTTTCTGTTTTATAATTAAAAAGATGAAAAGCTAAAATTTATTGTTTTAATTGGTTTCTGAGCTACTTTGCTTATTGACTGTGAATTGCAGTAAAATTGTGTGTGTGTGTGTGTGTGTGTGTGTGTTTATCTCTGTCTCTGTGTCTCTATCTGCGATATGGTGCCCAGTCCACTGGTACATGATGAGTTCACTGCTTGTCACGCTCTCACAGGAAATCCTTAACCACTGTTTCAACGACATTGAGATCTTCATGGGCAAGCTGCAGAAATCGGCCGAGGCCCACAGCATCCTGAGCCAGAGGAGCAAGAAGAAGAAGAAAAGCAGCAAAAATGCAGAAGGTGAGGGAGACAGTGAAGTTCATAAAGATGGTTCTCTTTTTTTACATTTTTGAACAATATAAACTGCATTCCTTTGGTCACCTAATAGCTTAAAGCCTTGATGATCTCTTGAAAGGTGCTTTTCAGTGATATTGGGGCATCTGGCTTAGATTACATTGATGGTGGGGTTTTATTTCTATACTCCTGTTACTCTATGATAAACCACACTCCAGTTAATTAGGTTCACCTGCTCAAATCACATGGCTGCAACTGAATATATACTCCTGCAGACAAGGCCAAGAAGGTCACAGAAGGTTACTGTGCAAGTAATCATTAGAATGGTCAGAAACAGCCACCCTCCTGTGATTTTCACATTTTACAGTGTCTAGAGATTACAGAGAATGATACAACAAGCAAAAAAACATCCAGTCATTGGCATTTTTGTGGCCAAAGACCTTAACCTTGTTATTGAGAGTGGTCAGAGGAGAATGGCCAGACTCGTTAAAGCTAACAGGAAGGCCAATCTTTGGATTCGAAACTCATCAACCTTTGAAGTGGTTCTATATTTGGTACTATGCACCTAATAAAGTGGCCACTGAGTATATTTGATTTTACAAACATTAAATTGTTAGTGTCTCCTCTTATTGTCCGTAATTACAGTCTGCAGTGATCCTTAATCTTTGGACGTTGGCTGAAGTCTGGTCAAAAATTAGAGGCTGCTGCCACAGTAAACTTTGATATTCATACTCACAAAGAAAGTAGGAGAATCCTGGAAAAACCAGAACGAAATACAGATTCAGCAAGAAAATAACCAGTAACACCCAACATGGAAAACTGAGAGGAACACTGTTTAGGACTAAATAGTCAAAATATGGGCTTCAAGCGACAGGTAAAAGTCTCAAAGGAAGAATGTTTGAACAAGACACAGACGAGATTCTGTGAGAGGGGAAGCACAGTTCGCATTCTTTGAAAGGTATGTGAGGAAAAGAGGAAAAGTGTTACAAGTAGCAGTACAAGCTCAAGGTGACAAAGGAAGAGGAGGAGAAGACATCGGAGGGAGGAGTGTAATGAATATGTCTTGCATTGTTTCCTTTTCCTGTCTTTCTCCTTTCTGTAGATGACTTACTCACCCTGAGAGCACGTCCACCTTCTGAAAATGAATTCATTGATATCTTTCAGAAATTCAAGTACTGCTTCAGTCTGTTGGTGAGAACTTGGTTCACCTTTCAACATGTTAATGTGCATAAAAACAGGTCTATGTAGTCATGCATTGCCAGATGGATAGATTAAACGCTGCACATTGCTGTCGCCCAGGCCCGGCTAAGAACGTCCATCACAAACCCAAGCTCAGAAGAGCTGCTTCACCATGTCTTCAAACCCCTGGATATGGTGAGTCTTTGAATAACTGTGTCCCATTTAAGCAGAATGAAGGTGACTTGTATAGTGTAAATAGAGTACTTGAAATTAAATTTATTAGTTTCCACAGTTAGGTAAGTTCAGAGTTGAATTATTTATTTCCAGAGCAACTTGTACTTAATGTATTGTGAACAGAGTTGCTCTAAACATTGGATTACTGTGGAAACACTGTTGGGACTGAGAACGCAGGGTCCCAAGGAAGCACCGTGAATGGAGCTACTGAGGTTGTGCTCTCTTTGGTCACCAGTGGCGGGATTGATGGCGCGTCCATATCTCTCTGGTATTCGGTATGGATGAGCAGAGCTATGGCATAAAGCTACAGGAAACAATGACTCAACCTCGCAGGACGAGTGTTTATAAGGAGCACATGGAAAATATTACATGTGGGTTGGGGATGTGTCACATGACCGGCCTCCCGCCCAGCCGGAAACCCTGCAGCCAATCAGCGAATGAGCCATTCATCGCAATGTCTCGTTACAGATCGTGAAGACCACGGGGGGGCCGACGCTGGGAGCGGGGGTAGCCAGCCCAGCCCTGACCGATACAGCTGTGCAACTGCTGCAGGAGAACCTGACTCCAGAAGAGACACAGCTGTGGACAGCACTGGGACCCAACTGGACACAACCACGGTCAGCAGGCTCAACTCATCTACCATCCCTTGCTCATTATGAGATTAGTGCCTCTTATGTTACCTTATGGGGCTTCACTGAGGTCTCACAGCTCAATGTCACATCTTTGAACTGCTCCCATTTCAGTCGCTGGGAGTCCACACCACCAAGGTTACTATCTGAGGTGCTTTTGTAGCCTGTAAGAAAATATGTTGCAAATGTTTACTCAGTAAACATGTCTGCATGGACACCTGACCCCCACAGCTCTCAGCAGCGAGGCCCAGTTCTGCCCTACACCCCCGTCTTCCTGGATGGCTGGAAGCCCGACCCAGTCGACCCGCATGGACAGGTGTGGGAGGATCCCATAGAGGCACAACACAAACTGGACTCTCAGAGAAAGCAGCAGGTAAGAGGGCAGTCAGGTGACACGGCTGGCTCTGAGTGGGGATTTGAGCCGCCAATCCTGGTCTGTGTCCCGCCCACCCGAGGGTCACCTCCACTCCACCCATAAATGTAAAGGGTGTAAACAATCGCAATCTCAGAATACTGTGAGAATTCGTATGACATTTTGAATGCAGTTAATCCATGATCTGTCTCAGAAGATACTGTTCATATCTGCAAACAGGGCATGGGCCCTCCCTCCTCTCGCCAACAGAGGTCTTCTTTTCGGTCGGAGGAGCTTCCCAAGTTTGCGGCACATACTGGCGACGAAGTGTAAGTTTTATTTTGACTTTATGTTGCAAACCCGCATTGCAATGTCATTGGATTCTTCCTCTACACATGTTAAGTAATTTTCCAACCGTGTCAGGTTCTGCTGATTAAACTATGCAGTGTATTCAGTGATTTCTCACACACTGTCCTTCCTCCTTCCTTCTTCTCAGGGAGGGTAGTGATCTTCCTCCGGAGACAGAGAGACTCTACTGCTGCAGCTATGACTTTGTGGCTCGGAACAGCAGCGAGCTGTCTGTGCTGCATGGAGAGACCCTGGAGGTACTGTTTTAATCTTCCAGAAGCGCACAAACAAATCATTATGCCACTGACCTTTTTGCAGTCTGCAGTGACCATTTAGTGGTTGCTTGGCAACACTGGATGCTCATTTCTTGTATTTTGCTCTTGTCAAGCAGGAACCAAGTCCTTATGATGAATCACAGTGCCTAGCTTCTCTGATGTTAACTTTTACTCCAATGCTAGCTAGCGCTTGATACTAGTCCCTCATTGGAAGCTCAGCCTAGCAACACTTTAAGTTGACTCCATTACAGCTGTATGCTTGCAATGTAATATCTGCTTTATTGAACATCATGCTGCTTAACTCCTGCTAAATAAATAAAAGTAAAAACTGCAGTTCGTCATTTATCAAGCTCTGAATGACTGGTGTTGTGTATATTTCTGCGGTTTCTTCTCAGGTGATTGAGTCATCAAAGCGATGGTGGAAGTGTCGCAATCGGTTCGATCAGATCGGCTTTGTGCCCTTCAACATCCTGGAGCCGCTGTCCGCTTTGAACGACACGAACATGCAAAACCTGAACGATCAGACGAAATCCAAGGTGAGTGGGTCTCCTTCTGATAGGTAGCTGGGCCCCACTCACTCCGGCAGGACACGCATACGCAGCCGGGCCCCACTCAATCCGGTAGGACACGCATACGCAGCCGGGCCCCACTCAATCCGGTAGGACACGCATACACAGCCGGGCCCCGCTCACTCCGGCAGGGTACGCATACGCAGCCGGGCCCCGCTCACTCCGGCAGGACACGCATACGCAGCCGGGCCCCGCTCACTCCGGCAGGACACGCATACGCAGCCGGGCCCCACTCACTCCGGCAGGACACG